CATCAGTCCCTGGCAAGCTCTCCAGAGCTGTTCCCGCTCCAAGTCGGAGCTGCAGCTCCGCTTTCGCCGCGGCTTTCAGCATTTACTGCTTGCAGCTCCTCGGAGCGCAGAGCCGCGATCAGCTCCCTGCCTCCGCGGCCGGCGCGCAGCGGAGCGCCCGGACGGACAACGCTCGGGACGTCAACGCGCAGGGAGAGGAACGCGCGGCCCCGAGCAAGCCCCGGCTCTGGAGGCCCTCGCTCCCGCCTCGCCTCTATCCCGCGCCCAGATCGCATCTTTTCACAGGGAGAAGCACGTTCGCACCCTGAAGCAACATCTGGGGGAAGGAAGAAAAGAAGGGAAAAAGAAGAGGAGCTTGGGGTTTTGCACGGCGCGGCGGTTCCCGAGCAGGCCGGGGGAGCAGAGCAGGGAGCAGCCCGGCACCACGGCTGCTGCTCCTTTTTTTTTCTCGCTGCTGCAGCGCAGGCAGCGCCCCGCAGCGCCCCGCGGCCGAGCAGGGCTCCCAGCGAGCGAGCGAGCGACGAGCAGCACAAACCCCTCCTCCAGCTTCCCCAAGAGCAAGAAAAGCACACACGCTTTCACGGGATCTTCATCAAAAACGTAGAACTACAAACACATGGCCTGGCCAAATCTATGATTTGCTATCTCTGGTTAAAAAAATAAAGTAAATTTACACCATAAACTTGGTTTACGAGGGGATGACGTTTTGGAATGGAACTGTATTTCCAGGAAACACGCGGGTTCAGCCTGGCGGCAGCCCCGTCTCACCAGCGTGTCCGGAGCCCGGAGCGCCCTGCGGAGCTCGCGCTTCCCGCGGGATGTGGAGCGGGCGCTTGGAGCAGGCGCGGGGCTGCCCGGGGCCACGGCCGGGCTCCGGGGTGGGAGCTGCAGAGGGCAGCGACAAACTCGACACGCAAAACCGGAGGCTTTTCTGCTTAAAAAAACACTAACTGATTATTTGAAGTTACTAGCAAACTGTCAGCCTAAAACTGAGGCATTTGAGACACACGCACAGCAGAAACAGGCTGGCAGGGAAGCGCTATTGCGAGCATTGACTTGGCCCTCGACAGAGAAGGGTGCCACGCTCACTGCAGGACTGCGCTGCCAGACTCTTCTGCGAGCCAAGGCACCCCAGAAGCAGCTACGTTCTCCTGCTCATGTCGTGGTGCTCATCGAGGAGCAGCGCCCTGCACCGCGGCAGGCCACGCTCACACCGTACGCGTGCACTTGCTCAAAAAGAAAAGCTTGCAGCCTCAGTATGTAAACGTGTATGGAAAAATATGAGCCCGGGACAAGGGAAATACTAGGAAGAGTGACCAAAATGGGTTTTAAAACTTACATCTCAATTCACATGACCCAAGACAATAGCCTCTACACAAAATACTAAATGCCAGCAACTTCTTGAAAGACTATTCATGAAAAGCTGTGTGTGCGTTAAAAGAGATGCTGGAATTTAACTTTCAGGCAAAAAGAGGAAAAAAAGGGAAAGATGAAGTGTTCTAACCCTGACAAATATATACATGAACGAACATTGGATTCTCGTGCTCAGGAGCCACTCACAATTGTCCAAACTTGCAAGCACAGTTTTTGTTAACACGCTTGGAGAACAGTTAACTGGCTACAGGCAGACACTAACTGTAGTTTTGAAATAACTTCTCACAGTTGACTGCTTCTGTTACGAAGTGATTCCCGCAAATAGGACAAAGATGATATTGGAACGATGCTACTCAACACTTTCGGGTGGCCAGACGTGAAACCTTGCTACCCAACAGGAATGAACGCAAACATCCTCTCTCAGACATACCTGGATTATTCTTCCCTTTCACACTGTACCACAGAACATGTGAATTTTAAATGCTTCTACTCCGTTTCACAGACACATACTGCCCAGGTTAGCGGGAGACGTGCGGACACGCACACTCAAAACACCTGCGTTTGGCTGCCCGGTACATTGGGCCTCTTGTCCGTAACAGAACGAGCTAACGAGCTCTCCAAGCCCCATTCCCACAACACGTCTGCCTTTCCGGGCTATCTATCCGGAAGACTCTTGCATATTCTCAATTGCAAGATAACATCTTGTTTAGCATAATCAAAGCATCTTTTATTCATTTCCACGATTTTGAATCACATCAATAAGGCAGTACAAAATTTGAGTATTTGAGACAAACACCACACACCCAAGCAATGAACTTCTGCCACGACTGCTCAACCCGCACGTTTGTCTTTCCACGCCGAGCCCGCTTCAGCGCCGTTTTTAACATTTTACACTGTCTTATTACTTAATGCCGAGTTTCAGAGCATGTGAAGTCATATTCTGTCATTTAAGCGACATGTTCCCAAAGCAGAGAAATAATCCATAGGCAGAAGAAAACAGTATGACTGAGAATAAATAAAAAATGTAACTACCTCATTAGTGTTCCAGCGGTGCCTCTCCTTCGGTAGACTTGAACATTTTGGTAGACATTCAAGCAGCTTCTTCGGTAAAAAGATTTTTACATGACTGCCATTGCTGTTCCCATGATCATCTGGAACGAAGAGAATACTTGTGTGACGCATATATGGCAGAAAAAGGGGTTCTGCTGAGGGACGTTATTACACAACTTGCAAATCCACTGATTGACTTGTCAAGAGCAGGTAATTTGTCACAGCAAGCAAAAACATGATTTGCTCTCAAAATTAAGAAATAAAGAATACATACATGCACATTGAACATAACAATACTCATTGTAGCTTATTAGCTTCCTCTGTGACAAATGTCCCAAGCAAGAGCGACCAAGCGTTTGGAAGCAGTGACCACGCGGGTGGCCTCCCAGCCAAGGCGTAAGTGCAGGCTGCACTCGGGGGGATTTGCAGGTAAATAAACCCTGACCCCGCTATCTGCTACGCTTGCAACAAGCTGCAGCAGAAATGAGACTCAAGCTCTACCAGTGGCCTGTGCAGCCACTTAAAACTCCGGAACGCGCTGTATAGAGCTCACTAAAAAGAAGCTCCTCCTCTTTCTGTGCCAGCTCAGACGGCAACGGGGCAGAGTGAGGGAAACCCTCCTACCCCGCTGCACACAGACATCCCTAAAGCGGGAATGCTGAGGAATCCATATGCACACACACACACACACTGCTGAAAACCCAGCAGGTGCCCGTGCAGACGGCCCGAACGCGGCGTCCCGGCACGGTGCCCGCTGCGCCCGCCGCCCCGCAGCCCTGCTTCCTCCTGCGCCGCAGCCCGGGCTTCAGTCGCCACCTTTATGCACCTTACGAGGGTAATTGCTGGCAATTCCACACTTGGAAGTGCACAGAAAAGGGACATTACCTTCTTTTCTTTTCCATATCTGTACATTTTAAAAGGTCGTAAAGCAGATGCTGGCATCGTGTTAGAGCTCCTCGTAATTATGTATTATATAGAAGCCTGCAATGACCCATACCAAACAAAGGCGAACCTGGGCTGCAATCATTTAAGAAAGCTGAGTAAGAGTGCAAAGCAGTAGCTAAACATCCCCGCTATTTTAGAAGCTTGATTATACTCTTGGATGTGTCAAGTTCAACGACATACACGCTGTTAAATCAGCCGCTCACGCAAGCGCAGCAGATGCGCTTACAAGATAAGCAGCGATGTGTGTGATGAACGTGAGCCGCTCTGCAATTCCCGACTCCGCGCGCCCAGGGAGCCACGCGGGAGCTTCCCGGAGCGGCGGGCAGGGCCCGGGGCTCGGAGCGTGGCCCAGCATCGGGCCGCGTCGGCCCCATCCGCAGAACAGCACCAAGGTTCATTCCCACCCGCACCCGCTCCACGCTTGCCGTGGCAGCTCTATGTCCTTTTCATTTCTCAGTCAAAATATCTCATTGCAGAACGTTCAATTCATTAAGAGCAGAGTATTTCACATCAGACATTATTACTTTTATCAACCAAACTACAACCCAAGCCACATTTTATCAGCTTGCTTTCCAAAGGCACGTTTTAATTGACATTAATTGTATTACTTCCTTTACCTCCGTATCAGTCAAGGCCTCTATCGTTCATCCCACCCTTCTGCAAGGCTGCCAGACCCATAATTATTCAGCTCATTTTATTAACTTTCTTTCCCTTCATCAATTATCAGTATTAATAATCCAGAGAGTGCCTACGGACACATCCATTGGAAGCGTTGGGGGCAGGAAGCAGGCCCCGCCGACAGTCGGTGCTCCGCGTGGCTGCAGAGCGCAGCGAGGCCTTAGCCCAGGCCCTCGCGCGAGCTGCCCTCCTCCGCACGCAGCAACGAGCCCTCCTCCAAACCAACCCCAACGCGGCAGCAGCAGCCGCTGCTTCGCGTTCACTCGGGCGTCCGTCACAGCAGCCTCTGGCCGCAGGGGCCGCGGGGCCGTCCTGCTGGCGCCAGCATCGCCCCAGCGCAGCGCTGGCCTTGCCCGGCTCCCAGGGAGGGAAACCGGGGCGAGCAGGCTGGGGACGGTCCCCGTGCGCGGCCCGGCTCCCCTCTGCGCCTCCGCGCCCGTCCGCCAACCCCTGCTCCGCCAACGGGCACCAAAGCATCGCACGGGACCTGGCGTCACCTCCCAAGGACTCGCAATCCTCCAGCTAAAACACTGCCTCGCTGCTCGGGTTCCTCACAAACAGCCTCAGTCCTCTCCATTAGCAAGTGTAAACCTTTATGGAGGTGGAGAAATAAATAAAGTGGCCGTCCTGCCGCCTGCAGCACGAGCCTCATCCTCGCCAGCCTGATTCACCCGCTCACCCACCAGAGACTTCCCGTGAAGTCAGGGAAGGAGGAATCGATGCTGCTCAGTGTGCACGCCTGACTCACGGCACCGGCACGCGTCCCGGGGGAATATCTTACACTTACTTAGGACTACATTCTCCTCTGTATTTAAAAAAAGAGAAAAGGAAAAAAAAGCAATTTCACAACCCTTATTATGTGCGCTTACAGGGCAAATCCAGGGCAGATTTGTACTTTTTTGCTAGTGTTGTTCTTGCTATGGGTGCGACACGACATTGTGATGTGCAAACCCCCCTGGTGTCAACAGAAAGTGCTTGGCAAGCAGAGCTCTCCTTGCACAAGCAGGATTTGCCAGTAAAGCGGTATCGACGGTGCGGGTTAGTGTAAACCTGGCCACAGGCCAAGAAGATTCCCAAGGCACCAACAGCCAATTCTGAAAACTGCAAAGAGGAAACACCGTGTTCTAAAATAAAGCAGCCTACAGCGTACCTTGCTATGAGTCGAGATGAAAAAATGAGTATTTAAGTTCCATTAGTAATCTTCAGGAGATATTTGTTGGTGAAACAAAAACTCAGGTGAAATGAAGTCTAACTATTACGAAGTGCACGGAAAGTTCTGTATTAATTATACACTCCAGGCCCTTGGCGATTTTATGGGCTTGTTCATGCTCCTTGCGCTTTATGCTCCCGCGGGATGCGACGCGAGCCGTGAAGCTGCAACGCGCACGGCACAAATCACGGCGCGGCTCCAGGCCTCCCGCCCGCTCCAAACAGCCCCCGCTGCATTGCTTTTTTAAAAAATCTGGTTCTTTTATTTTCTGTGATCTGGAAGGCGGACGTGGGACCCCAGACACCTTAACTACCGCAGTTAATCAATATAATATGTAACTAGACAGTGCAGAAACAGCTGAATGGGCGCTGATCAACTAGGGGTTTGCAGACAGTTCCATATTGTACTTAAACATAAAGAAAAAGCTTAGCAAACACCAAACAGAGGTCTTAGAAAGCCACTGTTACTAAGGGACAGTGGAGGGTTGGCCGTTTTTGGTCATTTTCAGAGCCTCCTCACAAAGAGCTGAGAAGTGCCTGCATGGAGAGCAAATCGTTAAAATTACAACGCAATAACCAGCTAATTAAATGGAGTGGGGAGGGCATCGGGATATTCAAAAACATCATTTAACAGACAGCTCCTAGTAAACAGAAACAAGTAAATACCTTCTTCTAAGTGGCACTTAAGCACCCAGAGCAATGCGGGTGGCACGAAGCCACCAGCCACAACACGAGGTAGCAGCGACCCAAGGGACGCGGCGGTCCCCTTCCCAAGCCAGGTGACAAAGGAGGCTCTCCTTGAGAAAGCCCCGTAGGGACACGGCTGCCCAGAGCAAAAGCACAAACCCCGCTGTCCTGCGGATCTGCGGCTCTCCATTCTGCCGTTTTTAACTCTTCCCCTTGGGCAGCGCGCGACAAGCAACTTGCCACTGTTCGCTTTGAGAAAGCTTCTTGCATAAGGAAACAGACAAAAAGTTACCATTTATGTTGAGTTCAAAAGAAAACACTGTCAGGTTTTTCACATATTATTTCCCGTTATTTTCTTGTGCCCTTGTCCTGGGCACAAGGCATGTAGAGTATAAAGGGGCTTTAGGCCTACATCCCCCCTGCATTTTCCACTTGGGGATTTCTGAGCACCAACAAAATCGATGCATTCAACCCGGCAGAACCGACTGTTAAAAATGACTCCTTCACCCAAGCGTCTGAAACGCTCTCAGACTATTTCCAACAGCCACGCTTTGTTCCTAGGAGCTTGGACCAGTGAATAAACAGCAGTGTAATCAACATCAGCAGCTTTCACTGTTTTCCAGAAATATTTGGA